TGTAGCTAAGTCCGTTGGCATGTAATTATCTTGAAGAATACTGTTATAAATGATTCATTGTAACATTGATTGAATGTGAAAATGGTTTTCTCATTTTGAATTGAATGATAAATTGATGAATATGGTGGGATATGAGTGCCACAATATGTGTTGCATCATTGTTGGCCATGTCTAGTTATTTAGGTACCAAATTCACCTAATGCTCCGTCATGTCATGTGCCATTATGCAGATTGAACCTGTTTTTATCTGTCGGAGAGCGCTCAAGCACCCTAAAGGGTGCTTCAGCACTCTTGGTGGCCAAAAAGTACAAATTTTTCCTGCCAGTGCGCGCTCGGGCGTGTTGGAGCGCGCTGAAGCGCGCTACCTGGCAAAATAATGTTCAAAGAGCGTGCTTAGGTGCTCTCAGCGCTCTTATGCGCGCAACCCGTTCTTAGCACGAATATAGGTTAGTAAAATTGGCATAACTCAAGCTACAGAGCTCCAAATTGAGTGAGGTTTGAACCTATATGAAGCTAACATATAGAAATATAATCCCATAAAATATTAGAGTAATTGAATGAGTATATCAATCTCAGTTTAGAATTGAAGTTGATGATCCAATTCCGAAAGTTCGATTTTGTCAGCTACGTTACGAGTTTAATAACTCCGGCTATACTTAATCAAATGGTTATTGTAATATCTTTCCGGAAAGCCCTAGACTTCTAGTTTATCATAATGAAAAGTTTAAAGTTAATGGTTAAGTGTAGTGGTCTCATTTTAGAGGATGTTACATGGTTACAATTAAAGTTTTGGATATATTAAGTACGGTTTTGTTTTAAAAAGTAAATGAACAATGTTTTTGTGAAAAAATTTATCCGTAGTTTTAATTAATCAATGTGATTGTAACTGCGTTTAATATCATAACTAATATTAATGTTTCTTGGTGTACAACGGGGCATTACATATAATCTTCCCCTGACATCAGTATAAGAAGAAGCACCAAATCGCTGATAAAAAGTACAAATGAAATCTCTCCAAGATTGCATAAATCATGTGCGGTAAATCCACCGGAACCAAGACCTCGCATTTCCTTCCATTCAAAGCCAGCTAGTAGCACTTCGAATTCTTTAGGAACGTTTTTTAAGTGAAAAACATCTTAGCTTTAAAATCCAATTATGCGGGTTTTGTCCCTCAAAAATTAATAGTTCCACAAGCATAAACTTTGACAAGGAGCATTGATCTTTTCATTCATTTCTTGTAGCACCTGAAGAAGATGATGTCTCACCTGATATAAAGAATGATTGAGATTGTGGGATCTCCCTCGTACGTTGCTCCCTGAGAAACAATGCTTAATGTATTTCTTGCATTTGAGCTACCAGAATTGCGAATTGAGATTGGTTCTCATCCAATCGAGTTTCCACGCGTTGGATGTGCTTGAGTTTTTGTCGTGAGCCATCGAACTCTCTCAAATTAATCAGTTTCAATAAAATTTGTAATACACTGGACAACCTGAATCGTCTCTCTCAAGAAATTTGCAAGAAACTTAGTCCTTTAGTTAAAAATAGAAAGTAAAAAAGGATTTTTTTTTTTTTTTTGTGATTAAAAACGTAAAGTAATTAATCAAGATTGTAAAAACTGAAATTATCAAATAAAAGGTTAAAACAATGATGTTAGAATATGGGTCAGATCTGAAACAAAAACCCTAAATATTAAACATGTTAAAGAGAGAGAGACAAGTACCTTGACAGAGGTGGCAGCAACGAGGAATAACTATGAGATGGTGGTCGGAGTACTACTGTGTGCGGTGGATGGTGTGGGTGATTGAATTGATAAATTTCTCCCTTATTCGCACGATACCCGAGTATAGTATGTGAGGAAAGGAATATGTCAACTGGGGGTTTTTAAAAAACCCAGCCAGTGACATATATTTGGGTATCTCCCTATGTTACTAGGGTAAATAATGTAATGAATGCTCAAAATATGAACAATACTCGGGTAAGCCACTAGTGTGCTCGAGCATAGCATTTTTTTACAAAGAATACTTGAGTATAAGGCAGTATACTCGAGTGTATAATTAGGTCAACGGTCAAACAATAGGTAGATGAGTTATATGTTTTGATACGAGGGCGAAGCATAAATTTAAAATAATTAAAGGGTACAATAATTAAAAAGTCGGATCCACTCCCTATCGATAAAGAGCGGAAAGGAAAAGTTGATAAAACATACACTAAAATTTAAACATATCATGGTTATTAATTTTATAGACCGAATTTGGCCTTATATGAGAAAAACAAACGCTAGTACAGAATCCACTGAATGCTCAGATTGCATGATTACAAGACTTGACATCTCAAGACCCGAACATTACTTTATTGTTCTCCAGCAAGGAACTGCTCTAGATTTTTGAAGCGAAATTCCAGGAAAGAATGTCATGTGATTCAACATTATCACCAGTGGCAGCAGAGAAACCAATTCTGACCCACTCCGGCAGAATACCCCTCAAATCAATGGTTTGTGTGACGCCAACAGATTGTTTAGCATCACTGTAACTGACAAAGGCACTCAATTGTTTAGCATTGGAGTCATAGCCAATGACAGCTTTTCCTATTGATCCTTCAGGGACCGAATTAATAGGCCAATCATCAGTGGTCGCTGAAGCAAGAGAGTTTATGTCAATTCCAATATGAGGAGCTATTGGTACAGGCTTGGGATCCCATACATTTCCGAAGCTGTCAAATTCAACAGCCAAAATTTGATTTTTGTATGTGTTGAAAGCAGTTTCAGGACTAAATAGTCCAAGGTATCCTCCAGTTGAATTTTTAGGAATTCTGGGGTCAGCATCAAATGGTATCATAAAGAAGGCCAACCCATCGGCATGGATTGCTCTACCAGCTGAGTCCACCACAAATGAGAACTCAGTTTCGAAGTCTGCAAGTTTGCCTGTGCTTTTGTCCCACAGGCGCACTGGTGGAATATAAACAGCTCGACCAACACTGTGTTTCTGGAGAGTAATACCATCTGGTCCATCTCTTCTTGTTAGTTGTATAACCCCACCTGATGGACGGGCATCGCCAAGATAACCTATATCAAAATTTTGTTCTGGCCCGAAACTGGAGAAACTGAATGAAAATGAATCTGACTTGACATTGCTGAATTGCAACAGAAAAAAGAGGACGAGCGTAAGGATAGCAGAAAACAGGTTTTGTGTTTTAAGAAGAGTTTTAGCCATGATTGATATTTTAATTTAGAACTAAGTTGGGGTGCATGGCAAACAGGGCTCGAGATTTGAGATATATATAGTACCAGGTAGGATTTCTTAGGCCTGCAATGTAAGATAATAAATAAGAATTGATTGCCGAACAAGGCAGCCAGCCTGCTTAAATAGTAGAGTGGTCAAAAAATCCAAGCAATTACAGACAGATTAATTATAATGTGTATGTGTGAGTTTTTGTTTTTGTTTTTTGCACATGTGTATTGTGAGTTTTTTTTTTTTTGGAAACATTCCAATCGGTTCATCGCTTCGCAACTAATCCGATTCTGGGCGGGTCCAGGATTAAGGCTTTAAACACCTCCCAAAGGTGGTACTGGGAGGATTCGAACACATGCTCTCTCCCCACCTGCTCAGCTCCCATGCGCCAACATAAATTGCACCAGAAAATAGATAACGTAATACAACGGTATTTTTCGTTAGCAACGGGACTGTTGTGCAATCATATGTGAGGTCCATTTATTATCAATTCCAACAAGGGGCAATCCAAATATATATATGATATAATTAAAGAAGGATATCCATCAAAAATATCAATCTTAATACGACAGCATTAAACATGGGTTTGAGTTGCTAGAAGAGGTATAGAAGATCCAGAATCCTAATACCCACAGATAAACTCTATAAATAAGAGGTAAAACCTACATGTATGACAATTCCCTCTCTATTACTGTTATACTGTCATTGTGCGCACACACCACCCCTTTGGCGAAAGCTGTCTTTTATTCTTTTATGCACAGTGATTTGCTAAATTCAAGGATATCTAACTCATAGATACCTTAAAGAGATCACTTAGATCCAAAAGTAATTCACTAGCCTATTGGGCTAGATATCTCTGTACTCAGGACAGAACATTGGCGTTGTAAGAACCTGCACCGTTAAATTAGAAATTTAATTAATTTAATTCTGAGTTAAGAGATAAATTCCATAATTGACCTTGAATAATTATGAGAGAACTTAAATAATTATAGTAAGTGATTAAAAATGTTGAAAGTCGTTTTTCTGACGAAAAGTGCAGATACCAGTTCTGCTTCACGGTATAAATGCGTACCGGTGAAGTATCCCGAAAAATAATAAAAATTATGTATATATCACTAAGATAATAGCTAGGACTGGTATGTCAAGTTTGGAGTCGAAATAATGAGAACTGGCGTCAGAACTGATAGCGGCTACGTAAAAGCGCGTACCGGCAAATTGTTGCGAAAAATAAAATAAAAATATGAAAAATCTTAGAAAAATGGCTAGGTTCAGAATATGAAGTTTGATATTAAAACAATAAGCGTAGCTATTAGTTCTAATACAGTGAGATTAAACTTAAGTGCACTTATAAATACATAGACACAAAACCCTAGGTCAGAATTCCCACCCCTCTACGTGACATTTTCTGACCTTTTGGTGGCAGCCACCTTCCTCCCCGTTCCTCCACCTTCTTCCCTCCATTGAAGCACCCCAAAAATCCTTTGAGAGAGTGTGATATAGCCTTGGGTGGTTGAAAGATTACTTATTTCTGAGTTGTAGATTCAGTTTGGGTGAGTGAGGGTTGCTGACTTTTGGTGAAGTGTTGTGGGAGTCTTATGATTGGTTTTTGAAGCTTCAAGGTGCCATTTTGGTATAGAAAGGACCAAGCTTTGGTCATCATTTCGTGGCTTGTGTAATATGACTTCTTGGGACAGATTTGAGAGCTCCAAGAGCACATTGTTCTACTATTTTTGAGCCCCCATAGGTATACTATGATCATTCCTCTTGAAATCCATGATTTTAGCTTGTTTAAGTCAATAAATGAGGGAACTTTGATTATTCAAGTTAAAAGTTGTTAATCCATGTATGAGTGAGTGAATGAGTGATTCTTTATTCAACAAATTCCCAAAAAATTTCACATATTCACTTAGTCTTAGGATAGTCCCAAAAGGCCTTTGGAACACTCATTACTCCTCTTAGCACCTAAAAACCTATTTTTCCCAAAAGTGCCCATTACAAAGGAGCTATAAGATTTCTCTTTGTCTAGTGCCTAAACCCAAGCTTAGCCACCTATATAATTTATTTTACGCATAAAAGTATTCTCACTTGGCGAAATAGTAATTCAAAAACGTATACCTCCTTTGAAACTGGCCAAAACTCATTTTAAGGCCATAAAAAGGAGCTACCTTATTTTATTTTATTTTATTTCACCAAAAGGAAAGTTCATGCACCTTAGAATATTATTCCATCATCAATTCATATATACGGCACTGTTCATCTCTACAGTACTATTCATGTATACGTCACTATTCACGTATACGATACTATTCAAAAATACGGTATCTTTAATTTTCCAAATACATTTTCACCGTTAAAGTTTTCATCTAAACACTTTTCTCGACACGAGCTAAGCCTCAATCAAGCTATAACATGCTCATTCAAACTAAACTTTCAAAATGGAAACCTAAATTCAATCTTCCTCAAAAGTCAAATAAAACTAGAATTTCTTAACATAAACTTATCTAGAACGAAGGGGAAAGCTGTAACACCCTGTGTATACCCGGTTTGTTAACATGCCATCGTATTAAGCCACGCTTAATTAAAAATGCGGAATATCTTTTTCTTTTCAATTATGACGTCATTATCAATTACCAAGTTGATTACTTAAATCACTTTCAAAATATTGCCTATATGTAAGTGCAAATAGAAAACTAGCTACACTGAATAACCTCATAATATAAATGAAGGTGAGTATCTAAGTCACGGATCTACAACACGTAGTCCGGACATAATCCTGATACATTAATACAACTCAAATCTAAAACAAGACATAGTCAAATCAATGTGGCATGGACAACCCTCATGCTCATCAAATAAGGCAACAAAGCCCAACATAGTCTCAACTCAAATAACAATATAATAACAATCAAACATAGATCAGCATCCAAGCAGATCAGAATAACATGCATACATCAGTCAACTAAGCTCCGGCCTCCCATCGCCCGAGGTATCAACCCCCAAGTTACCTGAACCTGAAAATGTGCCCCAAACGTGGGGTGAGATCTCTAAACAGCAATCTCAGTAAGGCAATGGGTCCTCAAGGATTTCTCCACCCCAAGCTCACTTACATGTGCAATACAAGTTCAAAAGCAGTAATATCATATAAGTTCTAAAATCAGTGCAATGCAGCATATCATCATGTCATGTGTGTTAACTATTCTACTGATCAGAGGAAGTGTAGGTTGTACGTATGTCTACAACCCATAATAGTACACGCCAATGCTGTAACTACCCACAGGATCATAATCCCGTCTAGGAGAACTTCACATACATATCATAGGCATTTGCACTTAACAGCTCAAAAGCATTTCAATAAATCAATACATGAAAACACATCATGCATATAAACCATTCCCCCATGGGGTATGGTGGAACCAACAATGGCTAAACCGAGGACACGAAAGCTTACCTCGGAAGCTAACTATCCAAGCCAAGCTCTCACTAGCTCAAAGCCCACAAACAACACAATCACAATTTGTTTATGCAATAATTAATCATCAACAATCATTGCTCAATATTCCATTAAGTGATTAAGGCTTTCTAACTCATTCTAAGTCATTTCATGTTGTTTCTGCAGAAGGTATTTGAATACTCCTCAATGAGTATTCGAATACTCCAAGTCTCCAGAAAGTATCCGAATACTTTCACTTAAGTATTCGAATACTTCAAAGTATCTGAATACTTTTCACCCAGTATTCGAATACCACAAGGTATTCGAATACAAATCCCACAGTATCCGAATACTATCCAGTATTCAAATACTTCTTCATGGGTAACCGAATACTTTTCTTCCCAAAAAAGTATCCCAATACTCCTCCAAGGAGTATTCGACTACCAAGGGATAAGTATTTGAATACTACACGAAAAGTATTCGAATACTTATAAGACAGAATGCAGAAACTCGAGCATTCTTCTGCATAAGTCTCATTTTAAGTGTCCAAACTCGATTTGGAGTCAAATAACTCCTTAAACAGATGTTCATTAACATGTTTAGGGCTCAGAAACAAAGTCCTTTACTCAAATGATCCAAGTTTTACTTTTTAATAGATTAATCAAGCTTAAATCATAAAAATGACAAGGAGGTGATCATGGTATACCTTAAGCTCCAAAAACTCTGAGAATGACACTGACTTGGAGCCTCCAACACAGCTCCAAGATGCTGACTTAAGGAACCACGAAAATGCACTAAAAGCTTGAACCTTTCATCATCAAAATGGCTTCTTGAATCCTTCAATGGTATGAACAAGGCTCTCACCAAAAAAACCCACCAACTCAGTCCCAAAACCACTCCTCACAGCAGCCAACACTCAGCAACTAAAGCCAAACACCCACACCAAGATAGCTCACTCTAATCATGAAGAAACTAGGTAGAAAGGTGATTGCTTGGGCTCACAATGTGAAGAGAGAAAGGTGAAAACTTGGAGAACTCAGCTCCCAAAAGAAGGAGGCACGTAGAATCAGTTTTGAGAGGAATGAAAACTGACCTAGAAATGTGTGCACACCTATTTATATGTGTATTAAAATTAATCTCACTGTATTAGCACTCATAGCTACGCTTAGCATTTTAATCTCAAACTTGGGATTCTGAACCTAGCCAGTTTTCTAAGATTTGTCATATTTTTATTTTATTTCTCGCAACACCTTTCCGGTACGCGCTTTTACATAGCCAGTATCAGTTCTGGCACCAGTTCTCATTATTTTTACTTGAAACTTGTTATGCTAGTCCTATATATTATTACAGAAAAATTCCCACACTTATTATAATTTTCCAAGATACTTCACCGGTACGCATTTATACCGTGGAGCAGAACCGGTATCTGCATTTTTCGTCAGAAAAGCGACTTTCAACATTATTAATTACTTTCTATAATTATTCAGGCCTTCTCATGATTATTAGGGTCAATTATGGTATTATTTCATTAATCTCAATATATTTAATTAAT